GGAAAGCGAAACGACGAGGGTCCGTGGCCGATGCAAGCCCAGGTACCTACATTTGGGGAGACGCTATGGGCAGTGCTACGGATAGGTGCAGGCCATGTGGGAAAGCTTGAGCCCTCGGGCATGAGACAGACAGAACGACTTCTGCATGAGGCACAGGGCAAAGAGGCGTCCAAGCGGCAGTTTCGGGAGGCGGCGGGACGTGAGTGGATAGCGGGACACCATTCTCACGGTCCGTTCCTGTGTTGTTGCTAAGAAAAAGTGGGTGAGGCTTGGGTACAGGGCAGAGGGCTGAGCACCTATTTTGGGGTGGACTCATGTCGCTTACCACATATGCATGCAGCGGGTCCAGTATCGTTGCGACTGCTGTCATTCCGACGAGGCTTGATAATAGCCAGGCCAAGTCTGGATGGCGGATTGGTCGCTGGGAACGCATGGCGCGCAACCCCGTGAGGACATTTCTGAGGGACGTCCCCCCCCTGAATAGTACCAGGCAGCGCGGAGTAGCCATTGGTGGGAGCGGGGATTAACTCCCTGCAGGCGGAGACTCGTCTACACAGAGCCCAGGTAGTGTGTATACCATGTATTGTTGGTTGCAGGGCAGACATGGGCAGACATGGGCGACGTCTTGCTGCCGTCGGCGACAGGTCCATGGTGGTGGACATGAGCATTTAGCAAAGGCTGTTGCAACCCATGATGGCGTTGTAGGCGTTGTAGGCGTTGTAGGCGTTGTAGCCGGTGCAGCAGTCTTTGGGTTGTTGATTCGTTCAGAGGGCAATTTCCAAGGTGTAAGCACGGTGGGCAGTTCCCCCGGGCATCAACTGCGAGGGAAGACGACGGTCGCTCCCTTGGCCGGCCGAGCGCGACAGCTGCTCATTTTCCACCGGGCTAGCCGCTGGGACCATAAGGCTGCTCGTGACGCGGGACGCCTTGGACAACCATATCCATGGCCGCTCGCACGCCCGCCCGCCCGCGCAAAGCTTGCGAACACGTCAACCAAGCTTCGGCTCGCAGCGCAGAGCGCGCAAATGAGACGCACTGGGCTATTGACGGCTCGCCCGCACTGCAGCACTGCAGCACTGCAGCACTGGACTGATCGATGGAGGTGCGCAGAGGGACTGTACCGACGTCACATGCTTCACCGGTGGACAAGGCCCCGTGCTGGTGCATGCTGTAGCTCTGTCTACGGGATTTCCCAGGGATTTCACAGGGATGCCGACAGAGCCGCCTCACAGCCCAGTCTGAATGTGGCACATTGCGCGCCAGCTTCTTGCATCTTGCATCTGGCACGTTTTGGCTGGCGATGAGCCTTGCTTTCCCAGACGGCTGGAATGCCGTGGCCAGGGTGTTTCGCTGCTGCCCTCGTCCGCAACCGACACGCTGGATGATTAGAGATGGGTCCCTGGCCGAACGTCACGCCCTCGGGAACGTCTACCAACAAATGGCAGAGCTGACAGCAGCCAGGCCGGGCGCGTAAACATCTGCCGCCTCAGACGACGGTCCCAATTCTCAATTCTCTCGGATGGCCACGCCTGGCTCGAGTGTGCAGCTGCAAGCAGATTTCATCGTCCCACCCAGCATCGTCGCAGGAGCTGCATCCTTGTCATTTACTGCTTCAGTTCAAGCGTACGGGAGCTCGTGCATGGCTGGGCGCGAAGCTGTCGGGACCACGATCGCCATATTCGGCTCCTTTGAGATTAGCCGTCCTGGGGGTTGGGATTGCGCTCTCGTCGCCGTCGAGAAACGACGCGTCTGATGCAGTGAGAACTCAAACCATAGCCTAGGGGCCCCGATGTCTTGTTTGCACACTCGTCTGGACGGCGTCAGGGGGAGCAGCCTGCCGTCAGCATGCATTTGTTCAATGTGCATCCAAATCGTTTCAATTAGAAACCTGCTCTCTCTTCGCCTTCGCACCTACTCCTTCTGGCACATATTCAACGGCCGTCTTAGGTGACGGTAGCACGGCACCTGCATCTCGGTCACGACTCACGACGGCATCCCCACGGCGCCTCTGACCTCGAGACGTGCCGAGTCATCCAAAGCCGAACCCCGTTGAATCGACTCGAGCCCGGACATTGTTACTCTTATTTCCACAGTACCTTTGCTCTGAGACTTGGCCAATCCCGCAGCTGTGGAGAGTGATGAACACTCCTCGTTCCACGAAAGGGCAGCCAGCTGCGAAAGCAGTGCAGGGTCCATGTCCAGCATTTCCTAATAATGCTCGCAATCCATGCCTGTTAGCCCAACATCTCCTTGTTCTCCTTGTCCTGCGGAGTCGTTGAGCTGGCCCGTCCCCGTTCATTGCGAAGCAGCGAGCTCTCTTGGGGTTCGCTTCGAGTCAGGTCCTTGATCTCAGTCTTATACCAAAGCTGCCGGGGCGCTCCCTGGCTCAAGCCGCTTTTCTAAGTGGGTCGTGTGAGGGTTGACATGGGAGCCCTCAGCCCAGAATGCTTGCCGACCCGAACGTCGGGCCATTCTCCACGCCTGCCTCGTTGGTTTTCTTCTCACCTCAAATTGTCCCCGCTGCACACTCCAGATGCCCTTGTCAAGGTTTCATACTCGACCAGCACCCGATAAACAATCGAATTCCTTATTCGGTAGCGCGCAAAGTCGTTGTTCATAATCCAGCATCATTTGTTTACCTCATTGCTGCTGCCCTGCACATTCGGGAACCCACTCCGCGATTGAGACACGCATGCGCTGCCCACCGTTTCGGTCGCTGGAACGATCGGGGCGAAGGTCAGTCGAGGCAGGTACTGTACCAAGAGCATGACAAAACATGTTAATGATCCTACGGCACATGTACTGTAGCTCGTAAAGGGCGTGGCTTGCCAAGTGCATATGCAGCGCGGAGACTAGTCTCGTCCTGCCGAAGAGGCTGCCAATTGCTACATCATCTCCACAGGCCTCTTCAATCGCACACGTAATCTGGGCGCAGAAAGCATTTGGCCGCCATCAAAGCACAAGTTGTGCACTACTATGTCCGTCTCGCGACAGTAGTCCACAGCCTCAGCGCCCGCCTTCCCAGAATCTAATCTGTCTGTGGGGCAGATGCGCTTATGCACTTCGGGTTACAGTCCACGATGGGGATAGCTCCCGCTCTATACTTAGGTCGTCATGTGCTGGCTAAACGCATGAGGCTGAACAGTCTGCCTCGCTATAACCGTCATCACACAATCAACGTGATAGTCCCACGGATGCCTTTCTCTCCATGACGACATGCTCCGCGTGAGGCGATTTGCGCTTCGTAGTCCGATGGCAGTACTGAAACGGCCTTTGCCGCAACCCATCACACCACCTTCAAGCTATATTCAGTCTGCCTCGCACTAGAGTACCAACGTGGGAGTATGCATGTATCTTCCATCTCAAGCTAAGTGACCGGAAGAAACCTTGCCAACAGCCTCGCAGCTGTGCAAACGTTGCAGCTGTGTAGCCGTTTGGGGATATGACGTCGGTTTTGACCGATTCTCAACGACTCTGGTCAGAATTCGTACACCGACGAGTCCACCGGTTGTAAGCGCCGCCAAGAAGCTTCCACGCAGCTGCAATGCTCACCTCAGCGCACCCTAATGATCCTTTCCCGATGGCATGTACAGCATTGCAAGTTGCTACAGCCCTATAACATTCTTCATCTACAAACATCATGACACATCTTTGGGCATTCGGTCCTGATGCAATACATTAGGTCCTGTCTTCGGCCATGTAACGACTTGGCTGCGGTTTCTTTCCACTCGCCCTCATTCGCACATGCATACTGCAGGGTGCTCGATCAGGCGGTTGCTGCGATGCTACTGCAAGCTTACCCACTCTCTCTGCTCACTGGCATGGTCGATTCCCGAAGTCTTGTCTACGCCTCGGCTCCTAAAACGACCACGTTTTCTTGTTGTTCGATTTTTCCTCACCCTTTGTGTGTTTGCGGTCCAGATTCCAGGTTTCGCTCTTTTGCAGGCGAGGCAAGACGCAGGCAAGACGCCCGGGCGGCGCTTAGATGAAAGCCACAACACGTGACCTACAAAACATGTCGGGCCACATGCTAAGCGACCGATTATGTTGCCGGGGTCAGTGTTGCAAAGTAAGACATGTTGAGGCAAGACTCTCAGCTTCCAATACTTGGTCGCAGACTCGGTTGGGTTGGGCCCACGAGCAGCGGACAACCCTCCATCTCGGCCACCTGAGCACATAGCCCTCTGTTCTGCGGGTAACGGCATGGCTCTGGGCTCGAGGTGAGATGCCCGTTGCTGTACTACGCCTCACTCTCGGTCCGAGCCTTGATTTTTGCTGTGCCATGTGCGAATATCCGGCGTAGGTGAGAAGGAGAATGTCTCAGAGCGTTGGCTGCGGACAAGTCACGCCGCAATCAAAGCTGCGTTCACGCGTGGAACGGCGACGGGATTCGGAAGCCCAGCATGTCCATTCGTTGAGTTGGTGGCGAGGTTTTTTGGACAACACTTCGCCATCTACCGTGTAGAAGTGCCACGTTACTTGATTTTGTCATTGTCTGATTATCGAGCGACTGTGCTGGTTTAGTTGGACCATGGCTGTCCATGTCGCCCATACTACCACACCTGCTCCTGGGCACCGGGTGAAAGTCACGTGATGGTGCGGGCAAGACCTCGGGAGGTTGATGCTGTCAAAATCCGTGTTTCTCTTTAGAACACAGACAGACAGGCAAATGATCCAGTAAGATGGTAGCCAAAGAAGGATTCGGAAGTCTTGGACATTCCGGTGCACATAAAGGCACTTGGAGGGGTTCGCGCTAGCACATGCCCAGGGGCAGATAAAGCGGGGCAGCTTCCCAATTAGCGGCATCCGACAGCGGGACCGAGGCTCCATGACGCGTGAAAGTGACCATCTCGTGCGAAAGATGTGAAGCCGGACAAGAAGGCTTAAAGCGAATCTAGCCCATCTTTGCGACTGCAATCCATCTGGTCTTTCGCGACTCGAACCATTGAGCCTCTGACAAGGACATTCACGATGCCAGAACTTCCGCCCTTTGAACACACGCCCATGGACGACATCGCGACGACATGCGCCACGGTGCGGACGACGTTCCTCTCGCACAAGACGCGCCCCGTCGAGTTCCGCATCCAGCAGCTGCGCAAGCTGTACTGGGCATTCAAAGACAATGAAGCGCTCATCACCGAGGCGTGCAAGCGCGACCTGGGCAAGTCGACGTTCGAGACGTACCTGGTCGAGATTTCGTGGTGCATGAACGACTGCATCTGGATGGCCAACAACCTGCCGCGCTTCGCAAAGGACGAGAAGCCGAGCGACATTTCCTTCACCAACCGATTCGTCGGGCCACGCATTCGAAAAGACCCATTGGGCACGGCCCTGATTATTGGGTGCGTTGCTGTTGACGTTGATGTTCATGTTGACGTTGTAGAGGGACGAATTGCAAGTGTGTACTGACCGTGATGCAGAGCCTACAACTTCCCCATCCAGCTGACGGTTGGGCCTCTCATTGGCGCCATTGCAGCCGGCTGCACCGCCATCATCAAGCCGTCCGAGTCGGCGCCCAATGCTGCTGCCATTCTGCAGAAGATCATTGGCGAGGCCCTCGACCCGTCCTGCTACCGAGTCGTCCAGGGCGCCATCCCCGAGACGACGGCGCTGCTCGACCAGAAGTGGGACACCATCTTCTACACGGGCTCCGAGGTGGTAGCCCGCATCATCGCAAAGAAGGCCGCCGAGACGCTCACGCCGCTGGTGCTGGAACTTGGTGGCAGGAACCCCGCCATCATCACCAAGCATGCTGACCCCAAGCTGGCTGCGAAGCGCCTGTTGTGGGCAAAGACGCTGAACGCCGGCCAGGTCTGCGTCAGCCAGAACTGCACCTTCATCGATCGCGAGATCGTCCCCGCCTTTATCCGCGAAATGAAGAATGCCCTGGCCGAGTTCTACCCAGAGGGCGCACGCAAGTCACCCGACTACGGCCGCATCGTCAACCAGAAGCAGTTCCAGCGCTTGAAGAAGATGCTGGACGAGAGCCATGGCAACATCGTCGTCGGCGGCACCATGGACGAGGACGATCTCTTCATCGAGCCCACCGTTGTCCAGGTCAACGACATCAATGACAGCATGGTCAGAGACGAGAGCTTCGGGCCTCTACTCCCCATCATCGCCGTCACCGACCTCGACGAGGCCATCAAGATGGCCAACGAGATCCACGACACGCCACTCGGCACCTACGCCTTCGGCAACAAGAAGGAGATGGAGCGCATTCTCAATGAGACCCGCTCCGGCGGTGCCTCGCTCAACGACGGCTTCTTCCACGCGTCCATTCCCACCTTGGCTTTTGGTGGTGTTGGAACCTCCGGCCAAGGCGCGTACCGTGGCAAAGCTTCCTTTGATGTCTTCACACATCGCCGCTCTGTAACGACAACACCGGCTTGGCTTGAGGGCCTTATGGATGTACGATACCCCCCATACACCGCAAAGAAGCTGAAGAAGTTCGCTGGCATGAACGAGTTGAAGCCCAACTTTGACCGTGAAGGTCGCCCGCTCGGATGGGGAAGTTGGTTCTTGGGATTGCTGGGCTTGAAGGGCCTGGCGGTGCTCCTTGGTTAGTATATACCTGCTCCCCAAATTCCAATACAAATACTGACGCCATACAGCGGCCATTGGAATCAGGCAGTACTTGCAGCGAAGAGCTAAGCTATAGAACTTCGTGCAGAAGTAATATTGAACTCAAGTCATTGCGCGAGGTCGAGCTAATTCAAATTCCCGTCGTTGCCTATATTCTGCGTCCGCACTCCGCATCTCTCAATCCTGCATTGATTTGATCAACCACGCTCTCTTGTAAATCAATACTCTGGCGCCTGTACTCCGCGTAGGACATGCCGTTACAAATCCTCGTGATCATACCCTATAACAGAGTCAGCTCATATTCGCAGACAGAATTTGGTCGAAACGACGTACGGGTAGCTTCTTGTAGTCTTCTTGTGAGAGTCTAGTTAATGTTTTAGCTTCTGATACGTGTGCTATAGAAGGCAACAAGTCGACAGCTCTCTTGCGCAAGCAGAGTACAAAGCTGGGTCCTAATGCTGACACGCACACTAGTCACTTGTGGCGTCAGAATATGCGTCTACTAAACCTCTCAATGTCAAACTTTCGTAATGTCTCAGTCACATGCTCGTGACAACCGAGACACTCTTTGAGCTCCTAGATTTCCAACATTGGCAACAAACACCTAGCAAACTCAATCGTCTTGTCAGCAGCAAACGTCCACTCGCAACATGATACATAGCCCAGCGTTCTGATATTGGTAGAAGGTACACATCACCAGCGTCATGGGCTTGTTCACGTACCAGAACAGTCACAAGCACTACCACATCGTTCACGACCCGCCTACCATCATGGCCTGCCCAAGAACTCATCACACACGTGTGGTTCGACCAACATTAGAACACGGCCGAGATCCAGAACCCTCCGAATGGTCCCAGGCACAAGCGAGGCGTGACATCTCAGCAGCTCATGCGGCACATCTGAGTATGTTGAGAGATAAAGCAAGAGACAGGCAAGCCTGGGAGGAGAAATGTTGCTGCCGGAGGTGTGAGAGGGAGAGGCCCAGACGGGAGGTCGTGGAGGTTTGGAAGAGAAGGGGGACGCTGGCGTTTGTGAGGCGGAGATGAGATCGAAGTGATTGTGGAGCGGCAGCGAGGAAGGAGTAGGGAGGTATGGAGGGTCATGCGCTTGCCTTGGAAGTGGAGGGGAAGTGCCTGATGCGGCTGAAGTTGATAGGCTTGGGAAGAGAATAGCAAGGTGGATGAGCAGTGCTACTTGTAGAGTCTGACTCATTCTTTTCTCACTGAATTTCGAGTCGCTCCATATCATACAATGTAACTGCAATGTCGTGGTGAAGCATCAGAGCCTGTGGGCTCACCGCAAACAGCGTGGCCAGATTTCACCGCTTCACACACGAAAACTATCATGACAGTCTCACCGCGACTTTGAATCTTTGCTTTCAGTAGCCTGTGAGATACCGGGGTGGTGAGTCATTTTGCTCTTGGCATGATGACTGAGCTGCTGAGGAAATCACGCAGACGACATCGCCGAGCCGTTCCAGTCTGACAGCAACCAATGAAGTTCTTTTGGCACTCAGAAACCAGAAAAAAAAAAGCGGGGTCGACTCTCCATGGACTGGGAAGGGGAGCCGGTTGCAGTTGACATGATCACTTGAGTTTGGGAGCACTCAAGGCTATCTGTTCGGTCTATCCCCGCCTGTGCCTTCTAGCAAACTCGGACAGTGGTGACCTTGGATCAAGGCGGGGATCATGGCTCTTTACCAATGAGGTGGCATAATTTGTTTGGCAGAGCCTTGGGCAGCATTGGATGCTACCATAGGTATGATCAGATCGTAGTATGTGGTGCACAGCTACAGTATTGCATGCTCTTGTCCTGGGGAAATTTGCGTCTTGAACCATAGTCCAGACTGCCACGATGAAGAAGCTTTTCCCGCCACAGTATTGGTGGTTTAGAAGGGGAAATGTTACCTCTTTAGAACTCTCGAGCTGAGGCACTTCAGAGCACCTATGTAGGTAAGCGCGACGTTACTTCGCTCCCTTCCACGATTTTTTTACCCTTGCAAGCTTTGAGGTCAAGCTTCAGCTTTCAGGTTCTCAGTTCTAGAATCAACGAAGATTCCAGGTTGGACCAATCATTTGGCAGTTCAGGCGACTTGCGAGGACACGAAATGGCGGGGCTCTGCAGCTTGCACCTTCCCCGTACTCGAAACTTCGCCGAATTCCTCGCTTCGCACTGAGCGGTCTGGACCTTTTGCATCAGACTTATATACTGCCTTAGTCAGATATGCACTGTATCTGTGTTATCATTGGACATTGCACCTGGGTTGACCTTGTTAATGCACGATGGAAGATGTCGGTGTATGCTGTCCCACGTGTAAGCCAATTTTTTCGAGAAGGAGTTGCGGCATCAGACTGGAGATATAAGCGTTCTAGATTCCTCATTTCATTGGCGTCATGAAGAGACACAGTCTGTAACATCATTTCCGTCCATCCAGTATACCTTCATCCGAAATGTCACACTATCCGATTTGTTTATTGCCTGAAGACATTTCTTACCAATGGTTTCGTACCAGTGCTATCATAGATGGACCGCAACCGAATATGAATCGAGCAACCCCCAATGTCATGACCAACACGTCCATGCAAGGATGGAACGTCTTCGATGCAACACCATTGGGAGAAACCGGAGTCATCCAATCGCATGGCGCTTTTGCAGCTACACAATTTCCCCGCGCAGGAGCCTCCCAGACTTCCTCTCCTTTAGCAACTGGCTACGAAAGCTCAGAGTTTGATTGTTCGCTACAAACATCCCCTCTCGGGCTCAGCCCCATCTCCACATCATCTCGAGAACACTCGTATTCTTCACCAGACACAAGACACAATCTCTCAGACAAAAGCTCAACCCATCGCAAACTCGGCCGACCACGCACCAGTCGTACTCCATTCATGTCCCCAAGTCCTCACCGGACACCGTGCTTGCCCCACAAGCAAGTCGAGCGCAAATACCGAGAAGGCTTGAACATGAGCTTTGAACGACTGCGCAGGGCAGTGCCTACACTACCACGAAGTGTCAATTCTGATGTCATGGGCTCTGCAAAGCCAAGTAAAGGCATGGTGTTGGCGGCGGCAATTGAGTATATTGGGAAGGTCGAGAGGGAGAGAGACGCTGCCTTGAGTAATCTGGCGAAACGAAAAGAAAACATGAGGGTGATGAATACGTAGAGGGTTGCAGTGTTTAGATGTCGACGGACGACCTGGTGACTTGAGTAGCCTTGAACATGAATAATATAAAAAAAAAATCGCAATGTTGCCTCTATTGCTTAGACGGAAGGTTATCGCTTTCTCTTCATCGTTGACTTGTGGTATCTGTATCATTTGCCGATGAGATAAGGGAGTTTATGCTAAATCATTCTCGATTGTTACATGATCCGTAGATAGGTATACACTCGATTCCGATCTTCGTCCCACCGCCCTTGTCGGAATGCCATGCTATGCACTCTTGAGAGGAACAGGTCCACCACCGTCACCAGCCGTCTCACCATCACTCCAGCCCTCCATATCCTCCTTGACTCGCTGAGCCGCAGCCTCCTGAACAGCAGCGATCCTAGCAGCTTTGTCCTCGTTTCGCTTAGCCTCAAGCTCCGTTGAGCCGCGGATACTAGCTTCTCGGACACAAATGGCGAGCATGGCTCGTACCTGTGAAAAGTGTCAGTGGTAAGACGAATGACATGGATTCTGTCGAGCACTTACAGTGTACACTGCATCGTTTCCAGCATTGTGGAGCTTCCATGCAGCGATGTCGAAGTCGTTCATAATCCTGCCCAGGCTCGTTGGCTGTGGTTCGCGGCGCCAGGCCTGGTACATCTTGGCTGTGTCCATGGCTTCGATGATGTTCTCGACCTTCATGGGGTCATAGCCCAACTGTTGCAAGTATCGGACGTCGCTCAATGTGTCGTGGCCGAGCAACACGAGGTTGCGCTTGCCATTGAGATTGAGCTGGCGAAGCGCGATATTGACCAACTCTTCTTCGGTGGTGTTGTTGGAAGCGTGCGCACCAAAGGGGCTCTTGAAACAAGCAGCGACGTGCGCCGGCGCCTCCTTGAGATCGACCACGGTCGAAACTCCGAAGTCAAAGCCGTCAGGACATCCGTGCACAAACTCATGGTTGATCAGATGGAGGTGGTCCTTGATGCGAAAGTGGCGAGCCTTGATGATCTTCCTCCACTCATCACCGTCAGGGCCGGGCGCAATACCCACAAGGTCTTGAGTGTCTAGTGTGGCGACACCAATTTCGGTGATCTTGTTGTGAGCCCTCTCATAGGACTCTACATCAACACAGACGAAGACGACGGATTGTTCCGTATTGAAGGGGGCGGGAGACATTGGACTGACGGCTTGGAGAGGAGAAGACGACATGTTCTGGCCGTTGGCAGCTCGAAGTCCAAGATAGCGCTGAGCACGCTTCAGTTGGTCGACCATGGACGTCTGTCTGCCAATCCGCTCCAGCATCTTTTCGGCCTTTTTGGCCTTGTTCTTCTTCTGCTGCGCATCCCAAAGATCTTCCATCATTTTCTTGAACTGCTCTAGGGTGCCGCTATCCGGAGGGCCGTTTGAACGCTCGCCCGCAGCACGGAAGCTGCTGTCAGGTACATCACTTACCATGCTGTCGTACTGATCGCGCGTGTTAGAGCGTCCAAGATAGCGGGGTAGACAGGCTGGATGGTTTGGAAAGTGGCCCACAAGTCCTTCGGCGCGCTGTGCGTCAGTGATTTTGAGCCCCAGGTTGAGACGGTTATTGATCTCGTTGAGAAGGTCGTGGAACTGGGACTCGCGAACGAGGATGATTGGATTGGTAGGCTCCACGTCCCAGATGTAGTAGCTGCAGTCAAGGTGAGTGAGGCAATCTTCGGTGTGTGGGGTGAGTGAGACTTACAGATCCCAGGGACGGTTCCAGAACTTGCCGGCATCAAAGAAGGCAGACGCAATGTCCTGTGAGTGAGACTTGTTGCAGAACTTGTAAGGGTACTTGGCTAGAGCGAGGACGGGTGTGAAGTGATCTCGGGCAGCAGCCAGTTCGCCACGACTGAGACCAGTGGCGGGTAATGCAGCGGAGCCTCCCGGGCGATCAGCAGACAGCTTCTTGGTGCCCATATTGTAAGAGCTCTCGACGCCTTCTACCAATATGAAGCGGCGCTCAGTGTTTGTTGGTTGAGCGGTGACAGGCGCGGACTTGGTAGGCAGATTTGCTACAGTCTGTTTGCTGATCTCGGCAGGCAATGGTTGCGGCGGATCCAGGGACACACCGCCAGAGTCCTCATCATCAAACATGACGGCGGGCTTGGGCGGAATTGGCCTATCGGGAAGGGCCTAGCAGAGATCAGTATTGCATTGTCAGGCAAGAGAGTGTGGTCACTGTACGTCGAGGTCAGCTTGGACAAGCCTGGTTAGGCGATGTAGACGCGACGCAGGAATCATGATGCGGGTTGAGCAGGCGTATTTGTGGAGTGGAGCTGGGGCTGCTGGCTTTATGCACGGAACGGGAAGCAGCAAACGGCGAGCAGCGCTTGGAAGGAGAGAGAGAGAGCACGGGTGAGACAGAGACAGAGACAGAGACAGAGACAGAGCCAGGCAGGCACGGTGAGAGTCACCGCGCCATGATGCAGAGGGTGAGGAAGTGTCTCGCGGCCTCTAGGCGCATACACGCTGGGTGGGTGAGTGACATCTGGAAGCATGCATGTGTGTATGGTGTATTCCTCACGTGACAGCTGGACTATGTCGCAACGTCTGAACAGGCAAGGTAGGCAAGGTAGGCAAGGTCAGCCCTGCACAGGTGGAGACGTGAACTGCTGGGGTCCACATCGCGTTCGGTCTAGCCCATGTCGAGCTAGCGCGTCAACCGCAGGGCAGCTGCGACCACGTCCAGCAGCGGCAGCTCAGCAGCCATCGCACTCGTCCACATCGCCCTCTGTGCCATTTCCGTCGCCCTGATTCTCCCCAACACAGCCATCCACGCGTGGTTGGAGAGGTTGACGCGCGCCAACCACGAGCATCACCACCGCGACACCTCCAGCTCCAGCTCCACCTCAACCTCAACCTCCCCACGATGCGCCATGGCTGAACCCGAAGACGCTGTCGACATGGCCCAGCCCGCGCCCAACCCCGATGCCCAGACGACGGTGAATGACTTCCTCGACTACACCGAGTTCTTCCCCTCGGACCTGGTGCGCTCCCTGACCCTCATCGGCGACCTCGACTCGACCTACCGCGACGCCGTCCAGCAGGTGCACGACCTCACGTCGCTGTACGGCCAGCTCCCCGCCCTGCCCGAGCAGGAGCGCCCCGATCCCGTGCTGCTCCGCAAGCAGATTGCCCAGCATCTGCAAAAGGCCATCAACCAGCGCGAGTATGCCTACACCGAGGCCTCGCGCCTGTACGAGGTCACGGTGCGCCATTGCCAGCGCTCGTCCATCATCAAGCGCAAGCTGCACGCCCAGCCAGAGCCCCCCTCGCGCGACCCCACCCCGCCGCCCGTCTCTCCCTCGGCCCACAAGACCTATGTCCGCCCCAGCTATGAACGACCTGCCCACCTGCGCCTGACCTTCGATGCCGCCCGCCACGCCGCAAGCAGTGCCCGCTCGCGAGACCGCCACCGCAGACCGGGCCAGCTGCCATCGAGGCGCCCGCGCGCACGCAGTGCATCCGACGACTCCTCCGACGCCGACTCAGACACCAGATCCAACATCGACCTCGCCGTGCCCACGCGCAAGCTCAAGCAGAACAGAGACCGCCATGCCGGCCGCGCCCGCGCCCAGGGTGTGCTGGGCACAAACGTACACAGCTCCATCGCCGGCATATCCACCAGCAATGCCCTCGCCCAGCTCGCCCCACCGCCACCAGATGCGCGTCCTGGAAGCAAATGGGCCCCGTGGCTGAAGCTCACCGAGTACGAGATGGCCGTGTTGCGGAAGCAGATGAAGAAGAACGCCGTGTGGACCCCGAGCCTCACCATGGTCAACCGTGAGCTGGAGAAGAAGCATCGCACAAAGGCAGACTATGACCGGGAAAAAGCGCGTTGTGAAGAAGCAGGCGAAGAAATGCTCGATGAAGAACCGGACTCGCTGCAAGATCTCGTCACTGCTTCCGGCCTGGGACAGTTGGCATCGAGCGGGCCTGCACCCGAGAAACCGGATCCCGCAAGAGACGATGCGCGCGAGGATGCCGGCACCATCAGCATTCGCCTGAAGCCAACAGCCTCCAAGGAAGGGAGGAAGATGGATCGCCTATCGCAGCGGCAGCAGGCCATGCGCGATGCGCTGGAGCTCGAAGAAGTCACCCAGGGACTCAGCCAAGCGGCAGAAGGACTCAAAGAATTCATCTTCCCCCCTCCCACCGCTGCGACCACACCAGCATCCCAGAAGAAGAAATCTGCTCCACGCCCTGTAAATACCTCCAACAAGCGCAAGCGCGATACTTCCCCACCCGCTGCTACCGAAAGCCCCTCCGAGACTCCACGGGCGGCATCAGTCGCGACTGAAGACAGCGAGTCCAGGCAACCCGAGCCAAAGCGCCCACGCTTGCAATCACAGCTGAGCGCACTGGCACCCAACATCCTCACATCTCCTGCAACATCGCGTACACCGGCTTCGGCTTCGGCTTCGGCCCTTTCCACACCTAGAGACACTCCTGCATCGGCAGAGCTTTCTCCTACAGCCAATACACCTGTACCCATCCCCGAATCCAAGAGGCATGTCAGCGAAGGCATTACAGTGCAAGTACCACTTGCTCCGGCTGGGCCTAGTACTCCAAAGGTCACCAAGACTACACCGAAAGAGCCCAGTGAGCCTTCCACACCCACAGTTGTAGCGCCGGACGCCATGCAGTCAGCCGCCACTATAAGCGCACCCCCGCCTTCACAACCCACAACGACAGCAGCTTCGTCACGACCGCGTAGGGAGTCGGTCGCGCCAAAGGCTGTGAGCCCACCAGCTCAACCTTTCAAGACATCCAAGGCCTCTACCCCTGTACCCGAATCTATACCTGATGCCACAGGTCCTGCCACACGGCCCCGTTCTGCTCGAGGCCATGTCCCGACTCCCAAAGCGCAAAGTGAAGAGCCCAAGCCAAATGAGATTGGCAGGATCACCCGAGAATCGCGGCGTCACAGCATCTTCAGTCAGTCTGCCTTGGTAGGTCCCACTCGCCAGAGTATGCGCAAGAAGCCTCCCCCTAAAGGTGAGGTCACTGCTGCACAGGACGGACAGAAGACAGTCACCAATGTCAAGCGCGCCCAGGGTAGTAAAAACAAGAAAAAAAGAAAGACCGAGGAAGACACCGAAGCAGCGGACGACATCGACCCGGACGAGGAGAAGTATTGTGTTTGTGATGATGTCAGTTATGGACCAATGATATCGTGCGATAATAACGTGAGTATCAATGCTTACCATTTCAGTCATATGCTTACATGATGCAGTGCGACAAGGAATGGTTCCATATGCCTTGTGTCAACATGACCGAGTCCGACATCCCCTCCCGCCGCTCAAAATGGTACTGTCCTGATTGTCGCGTATCTCTCCATGTAGATGCTTATGGAAATCCGCTCGTGCCGCCTCCGCTTCCAGGAAGGCGTGGTAATCGGTAATGTCTTCCTTTCACTTCGTTCGAGTTCGTACTGAATCTCAAGAGGGGATGGAGTACGTAAGGGCACCTAGGTCCGCATGACTCTCGGCATAATTGGCGTCAAGGGTTTTGAGAAGGTTCAACGACAGCAGCACGTAAGACGTCTAATGAAAGGTGAATGGGGGCTGCATAATGGATTGGACCATGTTGGGGTTCTACAACCAGCGCGGTAGAAGCGCTGCGGGTACAAAGGTGTCTGGCGCAACCAGCTTGGTCCACGGACAGCTGCTTTGGTATCATCACCAGTCTTTCATCAATTTCAAATGCTGTATTTGCTCGTGCCCTGGTTCCAATCCGAAGACCGACACTTGATTGAGCCTGTCGCAGTACAAGCGCCCGTGTGGCAGCTAGATCTACTTAGTTACGAGGGATGTAGCTGGTATCTTAGTGTCGCACCCACCGCCAATACTGTGTACAGCTTTGGTTATCAAGTGGGCTACCTGCTATCCTAGCCTGGCCACTTTCCGTCGGGATTGACAACTGCTGTACATTTTTCCTGCTTCTTCTCGGGTCAATCGATGTGGCTGACACGGCTTAGCGAACACGAGGAGTGGCTTCGCGAGGGGTTGCGGCTGAACTCGCTGAACTCGCAAGCGCTTAGCTGTGAATCGCAAGAAACTCCGAGAACTTGTACATTCTGCATCCTTCATCCTACCTGCTGGAAGAACGTTTAGCACTTCGCCGACAAGCGCATCAGACAGCTCAAGTACCCAGATCCCTTTACTTACAGTTTGGTCACGTGCATGGGACGGGGAGACTTTTCCAAGTTCAGAGACATATCAACATGCCCATCTCAGTGACTTTCGTGTTAGGCAAGAAGGAAAGCTACTTCTTCAACACGCCGAAACATTGGGCTTGGTAAGTCTATGTAGCTTTGATTGCAATCGATTTGCTGCTCTGTGGTCACTCTACGGAAAGGAGATTGCAGAACTGCATGGTCCCCAAAAGGAACGATGGCTTTCACGAGCTTCGTTGAGAGCCCACTTTGCGCTGCATAGAAGTGCTAGTAACAAAGGGACATCCGCTCACCATCTCCAGGCACAACCTACCCTCAGACATCGAGGCTCTTTTCACGCAAACCCCGGCAATCCAAGACGTTATCGAACTCGCACTTGGCAACAACGGAACATATTTCGTATCGTACAGAGATCACGGCGGCAAAATACTCTGCAAGCACTACAATCTGCCCAATGCATTGACCTCTTGGCTGTACTGCTCGAACGCTGGCATAATTCGAGACCTGTCCTCTCTCAGCATCACTCTTGGACCCTACGATTCATATTATGCTTGGGATAGTTCGTCTGCCTCCTGGTCCAACTTACCTCCCAAACTTGAGAAATCCATATTGAATCGCTTGGAAACTCAGGATGTGTTGCAAACGACCTGGAAAGCAAATGGAGCCGAAGCGCCGAGCTTCGTAAGTCTAGGAGCCGACGAAGCGTATTGGATGAGGACTGTGAGCGGCGGCGGATGTTGGGATTTAAAATGCAGTGTAGCGCCTACGAATCCCGGTGCAACAGATGGCATGTCTGGCTTGAGAGGCGTCAACAAATTTCTCGAAGATAGTAGTGATTTTATGAGCATTGCAGTGGGTCCTCTTGCAGTAACGAGTCTGAGGGACATGACTAATTCATGTAGTGCCTTCATCTCTTCCCGTCCCATCCCAACGCATACATCTTGATCACAACAGGCGGCAAAGCATTCTCCAATCTCCCAGAGTTCACATGGCCCGACTACAACAAAATTGCACCAGCATTCCCATCGTTTACACAGACGAGGTCACCTATTCCTCCGATCCCGCAACCGCCCCCGATGCGACCGCAGCTTCAATACACACAGCAATCATCTCAACAGACAATACCACAGCAACGACCCAATTGCTGTCCCAATAATACTCATATGGGGCAGTATAACTGCTGTCCGCAACAAACTACGCACTCTGCTCCGTACAGAATATCACCGGCTTTCGTAAATGCTTTGGGGGCGCCGCTTGCGCAGACTGGGCCATTCAATACACCAACTTCTACTCAGTATAATGTCAGTGGAAGCAATGCAAATATGGGCGGCCCGGTATACAGATAGATGCTAGGTTGATTGATAGACCACATGGAATCATGACGCCTGATGCTTTTCTTCTCTTATATGGTTATGAAATGTCGAAGGCACTACGTTTAGTACCCAGTATATCTCTCTACACCTGATCTGATAAATTGCGCTTTAGGCGTCATGCGCGCTTGATGTGTTTGCGTGTGGAAGTCTGCCTAAGGTATGCTGTCTATTCTTGATGGAACACGCTGTGAATAAGACAAGTATTCAGAACCGAATTGATGAGACTGGGGACGAGACAATGTAAAATAGCATGACCTTGAACTTGATTTGTTGGGCAGAGATGATGAACAAGGCGTACCACAGTACAAAAGGGGATGTAGGCTAATCGTTTCAGGTGCTACCCGTAGCCCTGTCAATAGTTCGCTTGTCCCACTACCGGCAGACCGCCTGCCGGTCAAGCATCCAAGTACATCACACAGCCACATTACTCATGTCATGCTTCCCGCTCCAGGCAATCCGAGGAGGGGCTCGTCTCGTCTTCGTGCTTGTTATTCGGCTGATGACCGGTCCCGGGGTCCTAATGCAGCTGACGGATTCTTCGTCTGCGCATTCGCGCACTGGGCCCGCATGCTTCTGACGACTTCCAGGCACCCGTCGATGTCCACACTTCATCGTCCTCTGCACTGCAATTGTTTCTTCCCTGCGACCAAATGCAAACAATCCATCTGCGAGTAATTCTCACGCGCAATGGACTCGGTCGTTTCAAGTCGCTTTAGGCACACAAGCTTACCCCATGTGAGCATATCGAAAGAGCTGTCAAGACGGGACTCGTTATCATCGTCCAGAACGAGAGACTCTGGGTACAACAGCGATCTTGATATCTCACTCTCGCCCTTCGAATATGTTGATCCGCAGAAGCGTATGCTTACGGGACTCATGATCATCAACTGGGTCGTTGGCTAAGTTATAGCTAGATATTTCCCTGGTTCGAATTCCGTCACTACAGCTTTCCCACATGACTGGCAACGCATACCGGGTCGATACAGTTTCTTCATTGCAAAATGACCTCTCGAGAACGTTGGTGATGCCGCACCTGAGCAGTAGCCTTGTTGAAGAGCCTCGGTCAGTCCCCGCTATCAAGGGTCCATCAACGACTTTGGAGGAGGCAGATGATGATATCGAAGAATGGATCAGGGACAACCTCCCATCGCACAATCGACCTGAACAGCGAGTCTCCTCCATAGTATCTTTATCGTCGGCTACCAGCTATGAGATGTACACAGACACTGACATGAGCGATGATGAACACCATATAACTTCCTCCGCTCCTCGCTGTACATTACCTGGCCCTACAGTCAAGACCATCAACCTTATCATGCGCAAGGTCGAATCTCACTCACGTGGTGTAGCCTTACAGTGTAACGGCGGTAATGCATCAACCGCTGCGAGTGGCAACGAGTCCAGTACACAAAGAGGTACTCGCAGAGTCTCCCAAGACTCAGGGAAGCGCAAAACAAGGTATGACGAAGAACCGTATCACAACGACGATGGCGAAGGAGACAAGGAGATCCCAAACAAACGACGTCGTGGATCACTGGCCACAATTGGAAGCTCAGAGCGCGGTGCTAAATTTGCCTGTCCCTTCTACAAGCACGAGCCGCATCGCTTCCGCGCGCGCCGTACATGCCCTGGACCCGGTTGGCCTACGGTCCATCGCATGAAAGAGCATCTCTACCGCGCACATGCCCAATTGGTTTACTGCCCAAGATGCTATGCTACATTCGATGCCGACATGGATCTCTCAAGCCATCTGCGTTCCGCACATTGCTTAGTTTCAGAACCTCAATCTATCGAAGGTATAGATAGGGAGACCCTCAAGTCGCTACGCAAGCGATCGCCGGTATTTCGACCCGAGGAAGATAAGTGGAGGGATGTGTACCATGTCCTCTTTCCAGACGTGGACCTCGAAGACATCCCATCGCCTTGTAAGTAGAGTCGGACGAAACCCAATGTCATTATCACAAGCGCAGACTGATAACTCTACAGTCTACGACGCAGACACGCCCAGCGAGGAGTCGCGTCGCTTTCGCCGCGAACTGCTCAGGCGGGTTCAACAGGAACTTTTGAGCACTGCAGGACAGCTTCCGCACCCTGTCGAACATCAACTGCTGCACCAGGTCGCCAATATCGTCCGCAGATGTGAAGAAGAGCTCCTGAACCCTCTCACACGCACGAGCTTGGATGCACCGCCTTTGTCGAGTAGGCGGGCGAGCGATACGTCGACACTAAGCTCGTGGTCGCAACACACGCCCTATCATTCAAACTCGATCCACTTCGACCTGGATAACCCGAGATCGTTACAGCAACCGGTACAGAGTTCGACGCATGTTGATGGATTCGCGTGGCTGGAGGAATCAAACCATCGTCAAGCAGCAACAGAGCAGTCCGGACCATTTGCGCCTGTCGTATGGGAGCAACTTCACGCGCTAGACACTATCACTGAGTGGAACGATTCAGAGGCGCTGAGTTTACCACCAAAGGACGTGTGTGGCGATGACGTCCTGGCGCACTTTCCTACAGGCATGAGCACTTGGTAGCACCAACGGCGGCCGTTTCGCAGCTATTGCTATCCTTCTTTGACGGGATAGGGCAGTCTCATACCAATCATATATATTATCTCGCATACGCATACAAGTATTTGTTGCGGAACACATACTCTCCTTGTAGTTGGCACAGGAAGTGTGCAGCAATTCCAAATAGTCCAGCACCAGTAGTAATAAAGTTTTATGCACTAGAGAAACCCGTATTCTGTCTGAGCATCACAATCCGTTCTTTCTATATTAATACGGTGCCTTTCCCACCCCATGAACCACCTCGTCCTCTACATCATCTTCATCGATACCTATACTATCTAAAAATCCGGAGAAATCTGGTTTCTTGCCCTGAACCTCACTGCCTCTTTGTCTACGATCGCCGCTTCTACCTCTACTAGCCCCACTCCTTACGCTCTTGCTCTTCTTCACTGCGCTTCCATTCGGCGCGGTTTTTGGTCTCGCAAAGTCCTGACTATCAGTCATACCAATTGGGGATGTTGACTTATCGCGGAGACTCTCAGGAATAGGAGGGACAGGCGGTACGCCGCCTCTGGCGTATGCCTTTTCGTGGGCCGTTTGGGCGTAGTGCTGAGCAGCTGCTATTGAGTTTGCAGTTTGCGGACGCGGAGTAAGTGTAGCTGCGGGCGTGGTTTCGCCGTCTCCGTTCGTCTGCGCAAGGTGCGGCGCGTCAGGACGATCCATTGTTAGGAAAGAAGCATCGGAGAGAGAGTGCACGCTAACGAGCGAGTCCGAGGCGGATGAGTCGTGGTCATTGGACGTCCGGAATCGTTGGGAGGGGGCACGATGAGAGTAACTGGTTTTGGGAGCATGGGGACCTGAGCCAGAGAGTGCGCGCTTCAAGTCGTCGACGCGGACTGTGCTGCGCTGTGAAGAGCTGCTGCCGGGGGTGCGACTGGGACTGCTATTCCCGTGAGGCGAGCCTAGACGACCGACTAGCCCATACGCGGTAGATGGCGGCCTACTTTGTGCGCGCCTTGGACTCGGCACAGGGGAGTTGCTTCCGCTGTCGAGGCCACCGTTTGGAATGTTGACACCAAGGTAGTTGTTCTTTGTGTATTGAGTGCCGGATCGTGATCCGGTCATCGAAGCCGACGACGAGTCCTTTGTATTGGTAGTGAGACAGAGATCGCGCGACCACTCAGCAAGTAGCTCTTCCCTGATCTTGTAAGGTAGTTCAGGGGCAGGTTTGACATTGATTGGTTGATGAATGGCAGGTATTGCGGAAGACATTGACAATGAACGGCCAGGTGATCCAGGTGGCGAGGATGGAGGGGAGTACAGCGAGGACGAATAACCCTCCGAGATCTTCTCCACGAGGGCCTCACGGTTGTCGAAGGGGTTGAGTGCTTCTAATTCAACTGTTGTGTTGGCTAATCGAACCGGGTTAGGTTGTGGAGTCTCGATCCGATCAATAGGCATGGGTGGTATTCGAATACTCTTCACCCAGAGGCCTTTGCTAGTCCCTACGTGAAATCTCATTGTGCAAAGAGCGTCCCACGGACGATACTTCGAAATCAAGAGCCATGCTCAGAGCCCAAAGATAGCCGTGCACCAAGCTGCCGACGCGTATCTTTGTGTCGGGGTCCTCAATGGTTACAATATCTTCCTGTAGTCGCATAATCATCGGTAGTCCGCTCCTTGCAGCGTTGACCCCAAGTCTATTGAGTAGCGTGGTAAGGAGCAAGTGGAGAAGTAGGTAGTCCTCTTCAGAATCGACGTAGTATAAAGCATTTTCGTAGACAGCCAGGTGCAGAAGCGGAAGGAAAGTATCCCTACCTTTGCCAGACCTTGGTGTTCTTTCTTTTTGCGAAGCGTTGGATACAGCGCGTCGTGCCAAGGCACCCTTGTCGCTGTCCTTTTGCTTTTCCTTCTTCTTGTAATTGTCTACAATCTTCAAGTCTTGCTTCTTCTTTTCGAGGTCAAGCCAAGTTACGAGTGCATCCACATAGGCCTTCCGGACTTTGCCGCTCGGATCACGCAGTAGCCATTGCGTACCCTCCCATACACTTACGCCAACTTTGCTTCGTGACACCGACGCAGAAGACCCATCGGGTCGTCGTGTATTTGCAGTCTTGATGATATCTTTTACAGACTCCAGGGCTGTTATGCGGGCAGTCTCAAAAGAGAAAAAGCGGTCAACGTGTGTCTTCTCCTGGAGACTTGCTGAGTCGACCACGGCATCGATGGTTCCGGTAGGGTTCTCGATGGCTTCGGCTGTCGAGGAGATGCTGGACATTCTTGAGGGCTTCAGTCTGCTGAGAATTGCTTCCACCATGTCCGAGATCTGGTCGGTATAGTAGACATGTGTTGCCAGATCTGCCATGCACTTCTGCACCGTGTCCAGCAGACTGAAGCGAGCTTTTGAGGGCTCTTTGACGACTTCCATGACTACGCCCGCGAGTTTGCCCGTATTGTCTTGATCTGCGACATCCTTCTCTGACAGCACCGATGTTGCCTGCTGGTGATGCGGCACTATTGACGAGCCGGGGCCGCCAAGTTGTAGCAATAGCAAAGTGTGCGAGATGAGCCCGACCAGAACGTCCATGACACTGAGGCCGATGAAGTTGATGGTGGAAGCGAGGAGGTGGTCTATGACGGTTGCCAGGACCAACTGGCGCTCGAGGTCGTCCTCGACAATGGGACTGCGCACCAGGGCCTCGACGGCCCCGACCAGAATGGCGTATCGGTCCTGCACAGGCGCCCATGCGCATATGGTGGCCATGAGCGTCATAGCCCAGTTTGCAGCGTCGCTGCCCGGGTGCGGCGGACTCTGCACGTGGGTGCTCACAAAGCCCAGCACCGCCGACGTCGCGAGGCGAAGCTGGCCGCGGTTCACGCCCTGGAAGATGTTTCTCAGCGCCTGGAGCGCGAGCATGCCGACCTCTTCCTCGGCGAGTTTGTCTGCATCCTCGGTTGTGCCCGAGGCTGCGACGGCATCGCCGCCCTCGTCCTCGTCGGTGCGTGCAGTGGAGACGCTCTGGCGGCGGCGCAGGGCCTGCTCCTTGTCGTGCTCGTCCTTCTGCGCCTCGCGGTGCTCGAGGCGCTTGAGGTATGCGCCGGTCTCGGCGTGTATGTTGAGCAGGACCACGGGAATGATGGCGGCGAGCTGGCGGCCGGTTTCAGAGCCGAGCGACTCGGAGGCGGCGACTGCTTTCAGCGCCTGCAGGCCGGCCTTGCGGTAGCGGATGGCGACGGGCCAGCTGACGGGGGTCTTGCCCTGCTTGGGCGTGTCCCTGGAGGCGTACTGGGCGTACAACTGCACAATCTCCTCGTACTGGCGGATGTAGTCCTGGTCGGCGGCGAGGGCGGCGGGGTCCTGGTGGGCGCACAGGGCCTCAAAGGCCGGCACGGATTCCTCGAGCATGGTGACATCGCTGGAGCTGAGGATGGTGCGCAGAATGCGCAGTACGGCGCGGGCATAGAGCGGGAGGTCGCGCGGGCACTTCTCGACCAGCGCCTTGACAATCTGCAGCGTCACCTGCACGCTCCCCGTGCTGCCCTTCCATACGTCCTTGGTCGTGCGCTTGTCCAGGAAGTCGCCGACCTTTTGCAGTTTGCTGCGCCGCGTGCTCGCGTAGTAGAGCAGGTAGCTCAGCTCGCTCGAGTTGGCCTTGACCTCGGCATTGTTCTTCTGGAACTTGGGATAGCACTTGAGCACAAGCACTTGGTGTTTTGGGCGACACGCCTGCCGCGCGGCTTTCATCGGGTCTCAATGGCGTGTCGGCGTGTCGGCGTGTCGGCGTGTGAGGAAGTCGGAGTCTGTCGAAGCCTGTCGTGCGTGTACGGTGGTGCCGGCGAGCAGCGGATCGGACGTCGACGAGGGTTATCACCGCGATGGCAAGTGCGCCAGCATTGGGCAAAGGACGGATTGCAGAGGGAGAGAGGGAGAAGGCCGGCGCGCAATGGAAACCGTGGCTTCGCTGGGCCGCACCAAGAGCGAGGGGGCAATGTGCGATATAGTGATGTAGTGATGTAGTGGTAGCTTTACTACGGTTGCAGTCGTGTGTTGCCTGTGGACCCAGAAATGTGGTCACGGCCCAACCTTGGAACATCCATGTTTCCATCAGCCCTAACGCCGCATCCGCCAAGCACAATGACGAGGCCTCGACCACTGTCGCACCATGTTTCGTAAAACACTTTGGTACATGATTTACTACAGCACTACTACAGCACAATTACATAGTACAATTACACCCGCAGGACGTCTGCTCAACCACGTCTGTACCCAGGAATGCTGGATCCTCTACTAACTTCGCTGTCTTCGGTTCTAACTCTTCCTCTATCAAATTCCCGGTGTGGACAGTCTTTTCCAGTCCTTTCGTCTTCGCCCGTACATTTCCCCTTTGTGACGTTGTAAATTCACCGCTGGCTCCGAGTTTCTTCCATTCTCTACCACTTACATATTCCCGCATTAGCCGTGGACCCAAGAGTGTACCGTCTTTGGAGAGCTTGTCAACCCTGACAGGGTTCCGTGGTGGATCCTTTGGCAAATATCTATCGCCAGTGGTGTCCTTTGGCAGATGTCTATCGCCAGTGGTGTCCTTTGGCAGATATCTATCCACAGTGGTGTCAGTATCCGTGTCCATGTCCATAGCGTCTACCTCCCCTTTCTTTTCAATAGGCAAGCCCGTCATTGGAGAATAAGCTTTGTTACCAGCTCGCTGTAGCTGATCGCGATAATACTTCGGCAATTGCGCCTGTTTCCCTTGCTCAACCGACATTGTGACTGAGGCTTTGACTTTGAAAAGGCGTTCCGTCAAGTCTTTCCGGAAAGGACCATTGTGGCGTGCCTTATCCGTTCCAATCACGAATTGTAGAACCCTGCCATCTGTCACAGGTTCGATGATGAATCTTGAGCCTTCAGGCATCGATCTGAGAATAAAGTCCGGTCGTATGTGAGGGAAGTGTTCATGTATCCAGTGCCATAATTCGTGACCGACAGGCAGGAGTTTCTCTTCCTTCTTTGCATGCGCAACCTCTGAAGCGCATGGTGAACTCAACAGGAGAACCATGCTTGATGAATTGATACGAGCGGTCTATGGCGTGCTTGAAGTAATGTGCAGGGCTCGATAACATTATCGGAGTCACTCTCAGAGCTCCTATGCCCTTTCCCTGGCGGGCATCCTTCTTGTTCCCCGGGATAGATTCAGCTTCGAAGATGCCAAACGTTCTATGCTTCCCAAGTGCCACGTCGTTTTTTACCTCTAAGCTCTCAGCCTTCCTTTTATTTATCTCTTCATCAAGATACAGCAACTGCCCTGGCATGACATGATTTTCGTAAACGTCTTGCAGAGATATTTGCGCAAGCATTTCTCCGCCTTTGGCAAGATTGACCAAATGTGTCGAAGGATTCAGAGGAGGTAGGCTGTACTGTGTGAAGGGGAGCACTTTGTGCATTCCAAGGACTGTTTCTGCTGTCGCTGTCTTGTAGAGTTGGAGGTTGCGGCGTTGCGTGAGGCATTGGGGTGGTAGGCCGCGTGTCGTTGGACTTGGCTGGCATTGAGGGCGGCAGAATGACTGGAGAGTACGGAGCGATACTCGGACGGGAGGCGAGAGCATAGGTCGAAATTCAGCGACGGAAGCGCGCGCAGTTTGCGACATGGTGAAGCCAGCGCCGGAAGCTTTCAGATGTGTCGGGCGCGATGGACCCTGGGAGCGCGCAACGCGACGCTAGCGCAATGGTCTAGCGCCTCGCTTAGGAGCTTAGCAGTGCACCGCGACTGCAAAATTAACCCAGGTCCGATCCACGAACTTTCCTTTCCGACAAGCTCGACATTCGACAACAGCCGCCAACATGTCCAACTCGCTGAACAAGATCGCCCCCAACAGCCCTTCGAGGCAGAACCCCTCGGAGATCGAGACCAGCATCGCCAACGCACGTCGCCCGCCCGCCCCCACTCGTAGACGGCATTGCTGACCTTGCGCAGGCGTTGACTGACCTCGAGAACAATGTCCCCGACCTGAAGAGCTCTCTGCGCCCTCTGCAGTTCGTCTCTGCCCGCGAGGTATGAAAGCCCCAGCCGCTCGGTGCGCCCGAAGCACTCGAAGCGTCGCATGCACACGCATACGCAATCTACAAACAAACGAAGAGGCGGTGGGCACTGGACAGCTTCAATTTGCTGACACCAGGATTCTTAGATCGAGGTTGGCCACGGCCGCAAGGCGATTGTCATTTTTGTCCCGGTTCCCCTTCTCCAGGGCTGGCACAAGGCTCAGCAGCGGTACGCACCGCCAGATTTCCGTGCTGGGAGAGAGTCGAGCTGACCGTTTGTAGCCTCACACGTGAGCTCGAGAAGAAATTCTCCGACCGCCACGTCCTGATCGTTGCTTCTCGCCGCATTCTTCCCCGTCCCAAGCGCTCCAACAGGTCGCGCACCTCGCAGACCCAGAAGCGTCCCCGTTCGCGAACCCTGACCGCTGTCCACGACGCCATTCTGACCGACCTCGTCTACCCTGTCGAGATTGTTGGCAAGCGTCTCCGTACCCGCGAGGACGGCAGCAAGGTCCTGAAGGTCGTTCTGGACGAGAAGGAGCGTGGTGGCGTTGACTACAGGCTCGACACCTACACCGAGGTCTACAAGCGCCTCACTGGCAAGGGCGTCAACTTCGAGTTCCCCCAGAGCGCTGCTACCGACTACTAGACGGCTGCTGGGTTAGGATCTTCCTTGGTTCGGGAGTTCGGCTTCGGATATGCTTCGTGTACCTGGCATCAAAATGGAATGACATGATATGAGCCTACGATGGGCACCAAGATACCACCTGCAATTGACTTTTCTACTGTGAAGACCGTGTCCAATTATGTTACTGTGGTGATTGGTTTCGTCTACTGCCGGTCCAGTTCAGGGTAATGGCGGAAGATACCCATGCTGAAAGGCATCCTACGATCACTAGCGAGATACTCTTTGAGCCCCTTGTGTTCCTGCACGCTAGGATAGAAGGTCTCAAATAACGCGGGGAACTCTTTCTTTCTCACTTCCAGCTCCTTGGGGAAAGCAAATTGTAAACCACTCAACACATGCCACAAGGTGGTGTCAGCATAGCTCAGCTTCGCCCCCACAAGATGCTTGCCCTGTCCTTCCTTCTCGTTTCCCTGCAACACGCGCTCGAAGAAGCCCAGAAACTTGGGGATCCTGTTTTGCCTGAAGTCCTCGGCCTTCTTGAGCGACTCATCCTTCTGGTCTTCGTAATACTTTCCTGTTGCGACAGGGTGGTGTGTGTCATGCGCCTCATTGTTCATGTCGAGCGCAGTAAGAGTGTGAGACAGTACCCACGCTTTCTCCGCCTCATCGTCGCCTGCAAGACCGAGCGACGCACCCAAATAGTTCAGGATGGCTGGCGTTTGGTACAAGAGTAGTGGTTTCCCATTTTTGCCCGCGCCGGGGATGCGCAGAGCTGGCGGTGCAAATACGGGGGGGTTAGAGTCGGAGTCGCCCTTGGAGTTGGAAAATACGAGAGCACTTATGATATCTCTTCCTGGGATGTGTGTTAGCAGTGTCGAGTGAAGGCTTGGACCGCGGTAGACAGACCGTTTTCCTGTTCGTTGGATACGTCTGTGTAAGATACGCCGGCTGCTTCGAAAGCTAGACGGATGAACTCGCCACGTCCAGGCATGCCTGGCCAGTAAAGGAGTTCGTACTGTGGATGGGTGCGGGCTTTCTTGGTGGCTGACATTGCGGTATATACAATGTGCTAATTCTACTTATGATCGGGCTGCAGCGCCCACAATCAGCTTTATGTGCGATCACTGTCCGCTTCCTATGCGAAGCGTCATGGTGGGGTTGCTGTGTAAGACGAGAGGGGAGGCGGAAAGATCCCGCATTAGCCCAAGTAAACTGTGGACAATCAGAAAGGTGGTGCAACTAATTATACCGGTATATCAACCTTGAGATGCAATTTTCGACCTTCTGTGCGATGTGCTGGCTTTGTGTGACCTGGAACCTGCCCATGCCACATACGCGACGGTTGGACCGCAGCATCACGTCTGCGCCTCCACGAGACTGCATATGTACTTTGCTACGAAAGTTGTTTCCACACCTGCTTTGTCGCGGAAACTGTTTGCACAATCCTTCACCATTTATTCTCTGCTTCCGCCAGCGGCCAGCCTACCTTGGACGTGCAGAATCGTTGTGCCTCGTCTCAACGGGTGATCATCAGCTAGCGCCGCGCCCGGACCTGACGCACCCGACCGCTCACATCAAATACGCGCGTGGTGGCTGCTGCCTCAGCTCTACGTTCAATCAACCACCTCGCTCTGTGAGCCCTTCTATCGAGTCCAAAAAATTGCCACTGTTCATCTCTTTGGTGTTTTTTACGCAATGGCCGACCTAGACAGATATTCTAAGCAGCTTGATAATTTTCGGGCCTCTGATGATGCTAGAGAGCGTCTCGTTAGTGTACGTTTCCTGTCGCGTGTCCAATGACTCTGTAACGCTACTAACTCCGCAGTAGGAAATCATTGAAAAGTACAAAGCTTTGTCCGAAGAGCACACTAATCTGAAAAACGATTATTTGTCTGAAAGAGATATCAGGCGGAACTACCAAAGAACTGTGGAGGAGCAGAGAAAAGACGTATCTGCTTATGGGCGCCAGCTTGAGGCAAGCTCATTCGTTCTCGCGCTCATCGATGGCGATGGAGCTGTTTTTCAAGACGCCCTACTCCAAACCGCTGCTGGTGACGGCGGCTCCGAAGCAGCGTCTCGGCTCTACCATGCGATTCGCGACCATGTTGCTTCGCTCCATGGCAACTCTGGCAATTGGCCCATTATGGTTCAAATATATTTGAGTCTTGATAAACTTGCCATGAAGTTGGCACAGGTTGGTTTTCTCCGTGCTCCCTCAGACCTTCGAGCCTTCGCCCAACGCTTCAGCGTCAATCAGCCTCTATTTAGTATTATAGATGTTGGTCAAGGCAAAGAAAGAGCCGATCATAAGATTAAAGGTATACCCCCTGATCCTCCAAGCTATTTGCATTGCTGAACATCGCCTTACAGAGATGCTTCGAACATTCAGCGCTAATCCTACGTGTCGCCACATTATTTTTGGTGGCTGCCATGATGCTGGATATCTTGTCAACCTCGAACAGTTCAAACACAACGAATCCAAAGCAGCCTGCATAACCTTGTTGGAAAGTAAGTCGCCAGCGCATGAATTGCGTGTATGAGACATTACTGATTTTGTACCTCGACGTTTAGCTACGCCCGCTCACAGAGGCTTTACAGAGCTATCTTTCTTCCAACGTGCTCGATTTGACAATGTGTTCAAGTCTGAACCTCTACCCGATTCTGCGACTGCTTCAATCGTATCCAACATGATTATGCCAACTCCGACACAATCTCCAGGGCTGTTGCGAACGACTACAAATCCCTCGCCAAGACCATCGGTGACCAATCCGTCACCCAACACTCCACCGTCTTCTGATATTGGGGGTCCCGTTGAACACAACGGGGACACTTCTTGGGGTGAGTCATTGATGCATGACGTATTGGGAGTATCCTGTATACACCACGTTTCTTCGTACCGAACGAACGTGGGAAGCTAGTGCTGACTGCATACAGCTACTGTCGGCAAGTCCGCCGGCGCCGTCGGCAACATTTCCCTTGCCCCAACTACCAAGACGAACAAAAAGAAGAAATATGCCTATTACAACAAGGAAGAACAGAGATTGGATGAGCCGCTACCACCACGTGATCCAGCTGCTGCTGCATCGCTGGAGGAACGCATGAAACGCACCGGAAAGAAGATGTGCAATCACTGGCATCTTGGTGGCCACTGCGACAATGGCAAACTATGCCAATTCCAGCATGAGCCGAAGCTGACCCCGGGCGAGCTGAATGCCCTACGCTACAAGACGCGCAGTCTTGCTTGTAAGAATAGGTACTGTGAGAACATTGACTGCTGTAAGTTGACCATCACTATCGCTACGTTCGCCGCCAGCATGCACGCATGAGCTACGGTGTCTCAGATCCGGTCATATGCTATTCAAATTAGCTAACACTTCGTAGATCTGGGACATCAGTGCGCTCTCGAGAGGGATTTTGGAAAGTGTCAGTATCCAGACAGCTGCCACTTGCGGGCAACGCATGGTATGGACAAGATGAAGTACGTCAGATACGACAAAGACGGTAATGCGGAGTATGCGTAGCCCTTGTAAGGAGCCTGTGCCCCCTTTCACATTATTATTATACTTAGCTCCAGCTTCACGTGTTCACAGTGCGCAAACACATCGCGATCGAGACTTCGTTTCAAGTCCACCTTTTATCAGAGCAAGTGTCCATGCTGCCTGAGAAGCCAGTCCCCTACCACACTCATCCATCCTGTAGAATTGCCTCACAATCCGCCTGTTCCTCCATCCCCTTCTTGAACTGGACCATGTACTCCCAGGCCCTCTCAGCCTTCACCCTCCCTGTCTCAGTCTTCATCAAGCCCGGATAATGAACGAACCTCTTGTTCATACGCTCAGCCAGTGTCATGGTAGTATTCTTCCTCCACTTCGAGTCAACACCTCCATAGAGTGCTGCCCGGGCGATCCCCATTTCTCCCAACGCATCCAAGCGATCCGCATCCTGGACGATTCTCAGTGCGGGAAGACGACAAAGAACTCCCTGTATGTGTGAAGGATCCTTGCGCTCGAGCGAAAATGACACGCTCGAAGCGATTTCCGCAGCTGCGTCGGCAATGTGTGGAGGACACTCCAGATTGGTGAGAAAGGAATGTACAATCTTGCGGTGGAGCTCACGTTGTTCTTCAGGCGTCAATAGATCTCGATCGACTGCTACTGATTTGGGGTACTCTCCATCCCCAATATTATGGACCAGCGCCGCAGTAAACACCACCAATGGATCCATCTCCCATACCCCATGCTCAATCATTCACAGTGCGTGTGCAATCCCCACGACTCGAACGCAGTACTCGTAGTCGTGCGAAGCGTCGTAGTCTGTCCCGTTCATTTTTTTCGAGTACGGCGATGTTGACACAGGTGAACCATGCGCGATTAGATATGTGGGTTTGACACCACCTAGAAGGACATCGAGGTTGAGGAGGCGGGTATCGCGCGCGTAGGGCATGGTGAACGGGGTAAGAGATAGAGATTTGATCAAGGCTTTGATTCGGAGGGCGTTGCACATTCCGCCCAAATGGTAAGATTGGTTGAGATGTTCGTGAGATTTTTGGTGAGTTGATATGTGTGCTGACAAGTGTACTCAGGAGGTTGAGATCTAGTATGATGTCGAGACTAGTGGCAGTGGGGATGAGAGGCCGTATATATATATATATGTATGAGAGGCGGAATCACCAGGGGCACAGTCCACAAGGCACCATGCGTAAACGTTTAGCCAGATGATCTCCGGGAGAGCATTCAACGTGAAAAGTCTATCATGAGATAAACCCTGGAGGAGTTACGTAGTCATTGTACTCGGCAGGTGCTTTCATTGCTTCATGGTAACATTCTATGAGACTGGATTGAATCATTATGAATCCGAATCAGTTTAGGTGGTTGGACAGACTCGATGTAAGACAAGTAAATACTATCCTTTATCCTCTATCTTGTGACTGTGGGTGGAGATATAGTGGGACAGGTTTGTGAGAAAATCGCGACCCTATTACCAAAGAACGCCTTTACTCTGAAATAAATATGATTATTCTACCCTTGCATGAGCAGATTTGGCTTTGGCGAAAGATATGGTGTCCCTGGACAACAAGAGACGCCATGCTCGTAGAAATGGGCCTTGGCTAGCACCAAAGTAGTCCATTTCTACAAATCGCTTGACCATAGCGTATCCATTGTTGGCCTCTGGGGCAGTCATAACAGCACGGCAGCTTTGGGCTTACTTCAGACGCGCGCGCCACGACTGAAAGTTGTTAATCATGTGGAACTCTATGGGCTGATGATCAACTTACGGTGCCGCGCGGTGGGAGAGACGGTGAGCAGTAATAATACCTAGAAGGAATGTCGCGAACCATATGACCATTGAGAGAAAGGAAAAAGCCTGAGCTGCCCTCCATTGGCCACAGTTGTTGTCTCGGCTAAAGGAGAAGCCAGCCCAGTCCCAAGCAGATCCACAGTTTGTGCCGTTGAACCAACGTACAAGAAGACCGAAGACAGCTGCCCAACCGGCGGTAAAGACTGGATCAAGTCAAAACCGTGTGTATATAATTTCCTTAGGCTGGAGCGACGTACCAAGGTCAGAGACATAGCCAGTCATGGAAGAACTCGTTGGAACTGCCCATATGATGGCGCCGATGATGGACAGAGAAGACCATATAACGGCGAAAACGACGCGACCGAATGGTCCATCATTGTGCCGAGAGCGCTGGTACAGAAAATACGCTGTAAGACCAAGCACGATGGCCGCAAACACGAATTGTGCAATGCGAAGGACGAGAGAGACGAGGCGAGAGACGATCATATTTATAGTGAGTTTGAGATTTTTCGACAGAGGCACTCAATATGCTAAAGTCAAGTTGATTTTTTAGTATGAGAGCAGTTTTTGCATCTTCAGACATCCTTTTCTGAGACGACCTACCTATATATGTAACATTCTACACCTTATGATTTGACCATTTGATCTTGTACTGAGAACTACAAAAACGTCAGCCACGTCTGTTGCGTACAGCCAATACGCAAGCAACGTGTTTAGTTTCTGGGCATTTCAGAACCATGTCATACTCTTCGCATAGTCACAGGATCCACGCCTTGTTTCTTGAAGATGGAGCCGGTACAAATCGTTACTATTGGATAGCCAAGCCCCCGTTCGGCCCGATGAGACCTTGTTGCGTGTGTTGGACGTGCAGAAAGTTTAAAGTTCAGCCTCGTCATTGTGGCTGATGCTACAAGGCTTGGTGGCCGCATAACCGTAGCGTCCACGCGTTAGGTCGCAAACGCCATCTTCACGATCCCGGAGTACCTGACATTCCTGGTGTGCCGCCAAGCGGCGACAACGCGGAAGGCATGGACTACTACAATGCCTTGGTGTAGCTGAAGTCAAGAATTGGGTCCGGGAAGACGGTTTCTTTTGCAGCCCCAGCCTCTTTCTGGGACCTCAAAGCTCTTCCCATCGAGATCATGGGTGTCGCGCTCGACTACATCATCTACATGACTTATGATCTACATGGCCAGTGGGATTACGGCAACAAGTGGACGTCCCCTGGATGCCCAAATGGAAACTGCTTGCGATCGCACGTAAATCTTACTGATGCTATCAACAGTCTTTCTATGATTGCTAAAGCAGGCGTCGCCTCGAACAAGGTTGTAGTCGGTGTCACGAGCTATGGACGCTCCTTCAAGATGGCACAAGCAGGACGCACAGGCCCTAAGTGTCTCTTTACTGGCAGCTTCGGCCAATCGAACGCAGCGAAAGGCGAATACACCGACACTGCTGGCTACATCTCTAACGCAGAGATTGATAGCATCATCTCGAAAGGCGTTTCTCAGCAATATACGGTAGAAGACTCCAACATTATCATGTATGGCGATGGAACAGAATGGGTAGCATACATGGCGTAAAATTGCTCTCGTCCGGCCTTGATAGTGTCGTCCAAGTACAACTTTGCAGGAACGACAGATTGGGCAATCGACCTACAAGAATTCACCGCTGATGAGGATGTGCAAGAAAACGATCCAAGATACGGCCACGTGGAACACATAATCGAGATTCGTGACCAGTCGGTCTGCGGTTCCTGGTATCGATTATTGGATCAGCTTGAAAAAGATACCAACAAAATCTCAGTAGACCTTTGACAAATATATTGTTGATGTTGACGCTACCATTCTCGGGGACTCTCTTGATTCGTACGATTGCCTAATCAAGGGTGGCTACGATAAAACGTCCACGGTGGATGAGAAGTCGGTGAAGAGCCAGATTCCGTACCAAGTCTATAAGTACATGGGTGGTGCGCAGAAAACTGGCTTCTTCGAATGCTCCGAGACAAAGACAGCACAATGCTGCAGGGACTACTCATCAGCCTGGGGATGTACGAACAGACCATTTCCATAGAGTTTGTACCCGACAAGACTTCAATGGGTTTAGTTGACCTGTCATGATCCGATGCGTGCAGTCATCGTATTGTATTATTAGTCTCGCTGTTCAACTTAATTTCGCACTCTGACGCGAAAGGAAGGTCTGCGGACAGGGCGGGTCCCAAAGGAGTTAGGTGCGAGGGAGTCAAGGTATCAGTATTCCAACACGCCATCGCGATCTGCTACGGTACATAGCGTTCGCTCCAATATTTCATCTCCGGATACCCTATTCGCGCGCGAACGGCCGAGCCTGTACTCCTGTATTGTCATACACAGCGACCAAGGCTGCGACATGGTCCGAGATTCAACTGCGACCTTCCACTATTTACCACGCCTTCCCGCCAAACTCCGCTTCAAAATTCGGGAACTGTTTACTGCAGCCGACCGAGTTTTCAGAGTCTGTGAGCGATGTTGGGCGCCCAGATACCTCTGGTCCCCTTCGCCTGTTCCACCCGTGACAAGAGCAAGTCAAGAGGCTCGCAAGCACTGCAGATATCGACGATTCTTTGTAATTGAAGGAGCCCCGCAGTATATCTGGATTTGCTTCGAAACTGATAGGATTCGGATTCTGAGTTCCGTCATGTCAGAGCTGTACAAAGGCACTAGCGACGAGAAAGAAACATCAAGCACCTTCGCTTAGAGCTCGAAAGAGCTTATAAGTATAGTTAGAATTTAATATTCAATTCTCTAGCTTTACTAGCATATTAGACTATAGGCTATAGTAGTAGTAAGCTAAATTTTAGAAGTATGTTCTAGATAGCTACTAAAATCTTCTTATAATATTTATTGTATTCTACTACGTAGCTAGTTAATCTACTAAGCTAGTTTGTTTCTACTAAGACTTTCTACTTACTTATAAATATAATATATAATTATCTATTAACGTAGTTTATAAGTAAGCGCTGTATCTAAGTAAGCGCTGTATCTAAGTAAGCGCTATAGTCTTCTTACTAAAATAACTGCGTAGTAATATATTATAATAGTATAATAAATATATATACTATATATAACGTATTTAACTACTAAGATAGCTAGACTACTAAGCTAGCTACTTTTTCTTAGTATTGCAAATACTATAACGTGTTTTATAAGTAAGTTAGTTACTTAAGTAAGTTAGTTATGCTCTACTAGCGTGTTAACGTTAAGATATATTATACACTTTTAACGTAGTTTTTAAGAAACTATACTATCGCAGTATTAATATATAAGAACAGTAAAGTACTAATCTATATAACTAAGCTAACTAAGCTTAGAAAGTAGACTAACGTTTCTCTATAATCTATTTATATATTTAAGCTAGCTCTTCTAATATATTAGAAGAGCAGTAATTAATATAATCTTTTCTCTTAAGTTTACTTAGCTATAATAGTTATAAGCCTAGCGCTATAGGATTATAGAGTTAATTCTCTACTATATATCTTATATTTACTAAGTACTTAAATTAATTATTCTACTACTCTTATTTCTCTTAAACCTCTTAAATTATTCTAATAATATTAGTCTAAATAAACTAAATAGACTAGATAAAACTTTCTTCTATAGTTACTCTTTAAGCTTATAAAGACTAGCTAGCATAGTATATTTAGCTTAAAGTTTATACTATTAGAAAACGAATATAAGACTATATTAATCTAGATAGCCTATTATAGCCTAATCTTCTTAATAACGCTCTCTTATACCTAGAATTATCTACTAAGCTAGTTAAGCTAAAGGATTCTTCTACTAGAGCTACTAATAAAGCAAAAGCTAATTATAAAAAGTCTTTATAAGAATATATTAAAGATATTAAAGCTTATAAAGTTTTATTAGCTAACTATAATAAGAGAGTCTAATAATAGAAAGTTCTTACTACTAAATAGTCTTAAAAAGCTACTATACTTATAAATCTTTAAGACTAGATTATAAAAATAGTCTTACTAGACTTTCTTAAGCCTATTTAAATTAGGCTTTCTTAAATAAATAACTTAAGCCTCTAATTATAACTTAAACTGCTTAAAGATTAGCTAGCTCTAAGTAAGGCTATAACTTAGAATTAAATTAGATAAGAGTATTAAGCTTATCTAGATAAAGCTAAGTATAGTAGAATTAAGCTAGAGAAGTAGTTTAATAAATAGTAAACTCTCTATGCCTAAGCCTAGACGTATAATATTCTAGAGGTTAAAGAGACTATTACTCTTACTAACTTTCTTAAGGTAATTATAGCGAAATATACTCTAGAATAGGCTTAATAGAACATAAGTAGAAGTTATAGAAAGAGTATCTCTAGAAAAGAATAATATAATATTAGATAATATTACTATAGTATTTAATACTATACTAAGTAAGTAATCTAAAAATGCTAAAAAAAAAAAGAGACTATTAATCTTTGCAGTACTAACTCTAAATAAGTAAACTACTTAAAATAGCTTAATTAGAAAAACTAAAAAAGGCTTAAAAGTATGCCTATGCATTAGGTCTTACCTATAAAAGCTCTAATTAGATAAGTTTTATTATTAGAAACTAATTACTTATCTTAAGCTTTAAATAGCAGTAATAAGATTAGCCTCTAGTAATCTAATTAAGCTTAATAATATAAATAAGAAAAAGATCTTAGAATAGTATAATAAACCTAAATAGTAAGATCTCTGCAAATAGATTAAAAAGTTAGGTTAGTCTACTACTCTAAGAAAGAAAAGATTAGATAAAGATTACTCTATTACTATTTAAGTAAGCTTAATTAATCTAACTCTCTTTATAAAAAAGTTACTAAAAGTCTATAGCACTACTTTTAATTAGCACCTACTATACTAATCTATAATTCTTAATAGTAGAGCATGCGTCTACTTAGTAAATAATTATAGTCTAATTAAAAATAGAACGTTTATTAAAGCTATAAATAGAGAGTATATTAAGGTAGAAACCTAATACTTACTTATTAATAGTATTAGTACTTAAATTATAAGAAACCTAATAATTAGACTAAATAGGCTATATATAGTAGACTTTATACTTACTAATATAAAGGTTATTAAAGGCTTCTATCTTAATATTATCTTAGAAGTAAGACTTTAAGATTAGAGAAATATCTAGTATACTAGTTAAGATTAAACTCTCTAATATAGTAATCTATCTAAGAATAAGTTACTCTATACGCTTATTAGGAAGTATAATCTTAACTTCTTAGAATTAATTAAGTCTTTCTATTCTTTAGTCTCTACTATTATAAAAGCTATACTAAGATTATATTATCTATAAAATAGAAGTAGTAATAAGTAAATATAGCACTAATAATTAAGTTATCTTAGATAGAAAGCATTATAAGCTCTAACTAAATATATATAAAATATTAAGATTACTAGTATTAGAAGGATTAGATATAAATATTATGCAATAGCATATGCCTTATAAGTAATCTTAAGAAAACTAAAAGAGAGATTACCTTAACTCTTCTATTAGATCTTATAGAACCTATTTAATATATATTTAGAATAATTAGAAGAGTAATAGTTATTACTAATAAAAGATAATTATTCTAGAAAGATTAAGAATAATAATCTTCTATTAAAGTTCACTATCTAAGATTATAAAAGTTATTAAAAAGTACTACTAGAGAGTAAGAATAAAATATAACCTTTTAATTATAGAGATATACTAAGATAGTAATTAGATAACGTAAGTATAAAGAGAATAATTAAGATTTAAGAAATAAGTAGATAAAAATAAGATTACTATTAAAGCTACTCTATCTTATACTTATAAGCTAAATAGCTTAGCTAAGCATACAGAATAGAAAATAATTATAAAGGTAATAAAAATACATATAAGCGCAAATCTGCCTAATAAGCTTTAGCTAGAGATACTAGATATAGCTGCTTAGCTTTATAGAAATAAGCTTAATAGCACTATATAGATATTAATTACTAAATAAAGTTCTTAATTCTTAGTTTTAATAATACTTTAGATACTATAAACTAGCAGTTATTTAATTAAGAATAGCTAATCTATGCTTAGATTAGAGTAGTATATATATATATAGCTATTAAGCCTATCTATTAAATTTAGATTAAGCAGCTAGTATAAGATATAGGTTTTTTAAAACTAATTCTAAGAGTTATATTAAGATAACTTAGTAAGCTATTAAGCCTTTAAATATTCTATAAGGATATAGATCTCCTTTGCTTTAACTAGGTTATTATAACTTATAATATTAAAGTTTAATAAAAGCCTATTTTCTTTTAAAGAAAGGAATTAATAAGAATATAGAAAAGAAATTTAGCCGCTTAAAGTTACTAATATCCCTATATAATAGCAAGCTAGAATAATCTAGGCCTCTTTATTAAGAAATAGATTATACCTAGAAAAGTAGTAAACTAATAAAGTTAGAAGAAATTACTAAGAATAATCTTAGAGATAAACTAAGTGCATAAACTAATTAGATAGCTAGCTAACTAAATAATTAGAGAGTTATATAAAAAGAAACTACGTAAGATAATAGCATAGCTAGCAAT